AGAGCCATCGGGTGGGGCCTAATGACTTTTTTTTTTGCTTGTTGGCTTCAGTTTTAATGGCTTGTGGTTCCCTTGCCTGTTGCTCTGTGACTGCTCTTTTAAACAGAGTTAGACATTAAAATCCTGACATTTTGTTACAGGTCATAGGTACAGTTTGCTCAGCTTTTCGTTAAATCTGGTGTGACAATTCTGGATGCTTCATCAGTTCTAGTCTCCCCACAAGGGTAGACTCGTTGTCTGAATCGCCTCATTCTTAAGATGGGGAAAGTAGACTTTCTTAATCCCTTGCCCTTATTTCAAAAATGATGAATTTGAATTGATATCTCCAATTTCAGTCTGCTTTGTAGAATAATTAAGAGTCCTAAACGTAACCAAAAAGTGGGTCGGGCAGCAGTTCCGGCCCTGGCTGGGCCTCCCGAGTCCCACGTGGGACTTGCTGCTTCCATCTGTAGCCTGTTGCTCCTGCAGAGCCCGGGCGGCTGCTGGGATGGCTTCAGGAATTGAATCCCTGCCATCCGTGTGGGAGACCTGGTTGTGTTCTGTCGTCCAGTTCTGACTGTGCCCTGACCCAGCCATTGCAGGCACCACGCGAACCTGGCAGCAGCTAGGAGCTGTCATTCCGTGTCTCTCTGCCTCTCATTTTTAAAAAAGATATTGATTTGTTTTTATTTGAAAGGCAGATTTACAGAGAGGAGGAAAGAGAGCCAGATATTCAGTCTACTGCTTGTTCACTCTGAAAGGGCTCACAATGGCTGTGGCTCAGCTGACTCCAAAGCCAGGGGCCAGGAGTTTCTCCCAAGTCTCCCACGTGGGTGCAATCCCCAAGAACTTGGGCCCTCCCCTGCTTCTTTCCCAGCCTGTAGCAAGTGGACCCGGACTGGTTCCTACGTGGAATGTCAGTGTGGCAGGTAGAGGTTTAGCTGTCATTAACCACTGTGTTGCCTCCTCAGGTTTTTTTTTTTTTTTAGTGTAGGTTTTGTCTCATTGTTGAATTGAAAGAATGTTTTATACAGCCTGCCTACAAGGTTTTGTTCATAATCACTTGTCTTGTGTATAAGTGAACATTTTCTCCTAATCTGTGACTTTCCGCTTTGCAATATCCTTCAATTCTCCTCAGGTCCAGTTTATTACTTTCCTAATGGTTAGCGTTTTCTGTCTGTGTCTTAAGAAATCTTTGTGTGCTTCAAGATTATAATATTTTCCCAGGTTTATTTTCTGTAAGTTGTGTAGTTTTAGCCTTTACTTTTTCTTGTTAAGATTTATTTTTTATTACAAAGTCAGGTATACAGAGAGGAGGAGAGACAGAGAGGACGATCTTCCATCTAATCATTCACTCCCCAAGTGGCCACAATGGTTGGAGCTGAGCTGATCCAAAGCCAGGAGCCAGGAACCTCCTCTAAGTCTCCCACACGGGTGCAGGATCCCAAAGCATTGGGCCATCTTCAATACTTTCCCAGGCCACAAGCAGGGAGCTGGATGGGAAGTGGAGCTGCCGGGATTAGAACCGGCAGCCCATATGGGATCCTGGGGCGATCAAGGCGAGGACTTTGGCCACTAGACCACAGCACCGGGCCCTAGCCTTTACATTTTGATCTGTGCTCATGTTGAATTCATTTTTGTGTTTGAATTTTATGTTGGAATTCATTTTGTTTTTCTTGTGAAAGAAAGCCTTTCAGGATGGTTTCTGTGTGATTTTTGACACATGCTTGATATTCTTTGATTTCTTCCTGACTTTGTTGCTTAGCAAGATGTTCCAGCCTCCTCTTATTCCTTCATTCTTTTCTTGTTCCAGCCTTCAGTGCAATCATTTTTCATGGAACCCTGTCTTTCCCTTCCTTCTCCCTCCATCCCCAGTGGAAAAGAACCTTTACAAAGATGTGGCCCCTAAGTGTGCTTGTTGCTGTTGGATGGTGTGTGTGTGTGTGTGTGTGTGTGTGTCTGTGTGTGTGTGTGTGTGAAGGATGTGGGCAGAGGAGCACACACACTTACAACCCCTTGGAGTTTGTGTGTTTGTGTACAGGTGCTTCGAAGCCATGGCTTCCCGCACGTAGCTTCCATTTTAGCCCACTGTCCCTGAGCCCATTCTGGTTGTTTCCCCTTCCTTCTTCTCTCTCACAGTGAGATTCCTGGCCCTTGTTGTCCTCACGCTGTTGTCTTCCTTGATCAGTGTCCCTCTGTGTAACTCATCTGCTGCCTCCCTCTCCCGCCTTTTATTAGCAACACTGTCTACACCTGCATAGACTTTGTTCATAGATTGACTATTTGGTCACCCACATTTATGTATGGTGGCCCTAATCTCTCTCTGGGATGGGGTTAGGAGGCGGGGTCCCCGGGAAGGGGTTAGGAGGTGAGGTCCCTGGGATGGTCTTAGGTGGTGGGGTCCCAGGGAGGTGATTTTGTTTAGATGAGCATGTGAAGATGGAGCCCCCTTAATGGCATACCCATGCCTCCTCTGTCAGCTGTGTTGTTTAAGCCCCTTGCTTGCTGGGACAACAAATGCTGCCCCTGCCAAATCTGTGAGCTCCACAACTGTGGATTCAGTTAATCCCAGAGCAAAATATGCAGAAAAACATGTATCTATACTGAAGATGTGCAGTTTTTCCTATCACTAATCCCTAACAGTATATAGTGTAGCAACAACTTGCCAACACTTACCTTGCATGTTAGGTAGTGTAAGTGATCTTAAGTGATGATGTTAAGCATATGGGAGGATAAGTGTGGGTTCTGTGGAAATACTGTGCCACTTTATATAAGGGACTTGACCTTCTACAGACAGCTAACCTTAGGGGTCGGGGTAGTGGGTTCTTGGAACCAAAACAAACAAACAACAAGCTCAAACCTGTAACAGAGACTATGGGGGAATCTTCAAAACACCGATGGGAAGTGCATATTACAAAAACTGTGCCTGAATTCAAGAATCTTTTTGCAATATAATAAGCATTTTAAAAAATTCCTTTTTCTGTGAACTGCTTTAAGGTCTTATATGTATCTCATGAAGTGTAAAATATTTCCTATCTGTCCTTTCATAGAAAGTTGACTCTTAGCTGTAAAGTCTGCAGGCATCATTTCTTCTTTTTTGGAGCACAGAAAGGAACGTCGGGGGCTCCATGTGCTGCTTCGTTGCCCGGACAGCCGCAGTGGCTGCTTGCCCGGGCACAGGGTGCTGCCAAAGAGCTGCTGTGGAAGTGTCATCGCGGCACCTGTGTCCCAAGGGTGGCTTAACTTGCTCCAGCCCCAAACATAATTTCTTTTTTCTTTCTTTCCTTTTTTTTTTTTTTTAAGATTTATTTATTTTTATTGCAAAGTCAGATATACAGAGAGGAAGAGAGAGAGGAAGATCTTCCATCTGATGATTCACTCCCCAAGTGATCTCCGTGGCTGGTGCTGCGCCGATCCGAAGCCAGGAGCCAGGAACTTCCTCTAAGTCTCCCATGTGGGTGCAGGAACCCAAGGCTTTGGGTCCTCGACTGTTTTCCCAGGCCACAAGCAGGAAGCTGGATGGGAAGTGGAGCTGCCGGGATTAGAACCGGCAGCCATATGGGATCCAGCGCTTTCAAGGCGAGGACCTTAGCTGCTAGGCCATGGCGCCGGGCCTCAGCATGATTTCTTGATATTGGACTTTGAGCTCAAGGATTTGAGACTGTCTCCCCCGTGAGTAGAGCTGGTTCTAGATATCCCCTTGGAGTTGTTCATGAAGGGCAGTTCACATGCTGTGAAAGTACTCTGAAGATGTTTGCGCGTAAGCAGGATTCACAGGGGAACGGTTGCTTTGCCCTTAGAAGACACTCAAGCAGGTGGCCTGCCCTCTACACTCAGGTGGCAGGGGATCGATGCCTGCCTGCTGCTTGCTCTTACGAGTGAGGCGGGCAGCTCTGTTACTGAGCACCTCTGGTCTTCACTGCGTCATTTCCGTTTATTCCTCACCCCCTTCTGTGCTACGAGCAGTGATTTCTTGGATTCCTTCATTTCTCTCTCTACCTTTGACCCTTGGTAGAAATGAAATGCGTTTAACCCTTTCCTGCCTATATTGAGTTTAGAAGTTTGTGTTTCTCATGAATTGAGTTAGTAAATACTTTTATACCTGTTATTTTTTTTTAAAGATTTATTTTTATTATTATTTTTTTTATTGGAAAGGCGGATATACAGAGAGGAGAGACAGAGAGGAAGATCTTCCGTCCGATGATTCACTCCCCAAGTGAGCGCAACGGCCGATACTATGCCAATCCGAAGCCAGGAGCCTCTTCCGGGTCTCCCACGCGGGTGCAGGGTCCCAAAGCTTTGGGCTGTCCTCGACTGCTTTCCCGGGCCACAGGCAGGGAGCTGGAAGGGAAGCGGGGCTGCCAGGATTAGAACTGGCGCTTATATGGGATCCCAGGCGTGCAAGGCGAGGACCTTAACCACTTGCGCCATTGCGCCGGGCCCAATATACCTGTTATTCTTATATCACTATATTTCTCATTAATTATTTTATAACGTGTTTGTATTTATTTGAGAGGCTGAGCCAGAGGCATTGAGAGACATTGGGGTTCGTACCCCGGATGCCTACGATAGCTGGTGTTTGGCTAGGGCCAAAGCTGGGAACTCAATCCAGGTCTCCCACGTGCTTGGCAAGAACCCAGTTACTCAAACCCTCACCCCTGCCCTCAGGGTCTGCGTTAGGAAGAAGCTGGAATCCACAAGTGGATCTGGGTGTGAACCCAGGCTCTCCAGAAACGCACGTGAGCATCTTATGCTGGGATAACTGGCCCGTCTCTTTGTACTCTTGCAAATGTTGTAGGGCAGTGGGTTATGCTGCCGCTCGTGATGTCAGCATCCTGTATGTGCAGCCATTCAGGTTCTACCTGCTGCCCTTCCAGCATCCTGGACGGCAGTGGCGGATGGTCCAGGCGCTTCAGCCTCTTCAGTCTGACGGCGCTAGGGCTCTTGGCTGCCGCCTGACCCCGCTTTGGCCGTGTTGGACTTGAAGAGTAAATCAGTGGATGGAAAGATCTCTCTCTCTCTCTTCTTATATCACTGTTAGCTCTACTTTTCAAACAATCACAACAAATCTTAGGGAAATAAATACTGATAAGGAAGCTTTTCTTTTCTCTCTTTTGTTTCATTTAATTCTGTTCTTCTTAAGCTCCATTATGTGGAATAACAATACTTTGCTCTGGTTTATAAGTAAGATAAGACATAATTTTAATTCTCAGAAGAATAGGATAAGTGTCCAGGGCTTTCACGTTGCAGTGGCAGTGGGGAGCACTGGTGATTAGCAATGCCTGTGATGTTACAAACCGTTCTCGGGCAGTGACTTCAAGGACACTCTCAGAGAGGAACAACACTTCTTGGTCACGCCTCCTTCTATCCTGTGTTTTTGAGCAATGAAAAAGCATTTATTTGGGTTTTATTTTTAATTCCTAGGGAGCCAGGAGACGGACGGCTACCCCTAGACATTTCCGTTACATCTTCCTCACTCCAGATGAAAACACCTGATGGCTGCACTGACCTGGAGATTCCAGCAGGGGTCAGCCTTGTGCCTTCCTCCTGCCGCGGGCTGCAGTACATGCCTGGGGAAGGGCTGCATCTGAGGCTGCAGGCGCGGGCCGATCTCAGCACAAGTGAGTAGGATTAACACTTCTGGATTTGCAGTTATATATATACATATCATATATAACTATATAGTTACATATATATGTAGTTATAAATTAAAGTGGTTGAACTTTTCCCAGGTGGTGCCTATGGCAAAGGCTGTGGGTTCCAGGAGACGTCCCACCTCGGTCAGCTCTGCCAGTTATAAGCCGGATGCAACTGAATATGCTGCTACTAGGCTAAGTTATTTTCTTTCCTGTTAGTGTTTTTTTTCTTAAAATTTTAATTTATTATTTTATTTGGAAGGTAGATAGAGATAGAAATTTTTTCATTTGTGGGTTCACTTTTCAAATGCCCACAATAGCACAGACTGAGCTAGGACAAAGCAGAGAGCTGGGAGCTTAGCCCGGCTGTTCCAGGGATGACGCACAAGTCCAGCTGTGCAAGCCATCACCTGCTGCCTCCCACGGGCTGCCGGAGCAGGAGCTGCAGTCAGAGCTGGAGCCAGACACTCCTGTGTATGATGGACATATTCCGAGTGGTGTGTATGTGTGTGTGTTTTTTAATTAAACAGAAATATTTAATTTGTTGATTCATTCTCTCAGATGCCCAGGCTGACTGGGCCAAAGCCAGGAGCCAGAACCACTGACCAGGCCTCCCACATGAGCTGTGTGAAGCCCAGCACTTGGGCCACCTTCCACCATCTTCTAGCATTATCAGGAAGCTAAATTGGAAACCCGAGAGTAGCCAAGACCTAACCCAACACTCTGATGGTGATGGGAACATCCCAAGAGCCAGCTTAATCTGCTAGGCCACAGCATTTGCCCCCCAGTAATTTCTTATCCACTGTGCCCAATACCTGCCCCATTAAAAAAAAATAAACTGTTTTGTAAAGACTTGTTTATTTTTATTGGAAAGGCAGATTTACAGAGAGGAGGAAAGACAGGAAGAGAAAGATCTTTCATGTGCTGGTCACTCTCCAAATGTCTACAATGGCTGAAGCTGAGCTGATCCGAAGCTGGGAGCTTCTTCTGGGTGTCCCACATGAATACAGGGTCCCAAGACCTTGGGCCATCCTTCAGTGCTTTCCAGGCTGAAGCAGGGTGCCAAATGGGGAGTGGAGCAGCTGGGACACAAACTGGTGCCCATAAGGGATGCTGTTACTTGCAGGTGAAGGTTTAGACAGTTGAGCTGCCATGTTATCCCCATGATAGACTGTTTTTAGGGCACTTTTTGCTCCACAGCAAAATTGACTACAAGGTACAGAGGTTTCCTGTAGATATTCTCTGTTTTGTTTGTTTGTTTAAGATTTATTTTATTAGGAAGGCAGATTTAGAGAGAAGGAGATACAGAAAGATCTTCCATCCGCTGATTTCACTCCCCCAGTGGCCAGACCAGCCCGAGCTGACCTGATTAAAGCCAGGGGCCAGCAAATTTTCCACACTAGTGCAGGTTCCCATGGCTTTGGACCATCTTATACTGCTTTCCCAGGCCACAAGTGGGAAGCTGGATGGGAAGTGGAACAGCTGGGCATGAACTGACACCCATAGGGATCTTGGTGCAAGTAAGGTGAGAATTTAGCCACTGAGCCATCATGCTGGGCCCTGTTTTGTTTCTTTGATTATAAAATTTCATTGTTCAGAGACATGATGTGAGGATTAAATTGGATGGCAATTATGTAAGACCTGGTTGACTTTAACACATCACATAGAAATTCATTGACTGGGGGTACTGGTGTGGTGGTGCTTCAGGCTCATCCTCCGCCCTGTGGTGCTAGCATCCCGCATTGGTGCTGTTTGTGTCCTGGCTGTTGCACTTCTGATCTGTCTCTCTGATTATGGCCTGGGAAAGCAGCAGAGGGTGGGCGTGGTCCTTGGACCCTGCACCCATGGCAGAAGCTCCTGGCTCCCAGCTTTGGATAAGCTCAGCTTTGGCTGTTGTGACTGTGTGGGGAATGAACCAGCTGATGGAAGACCTTCTCTCTCTTCTCTTTGTAAAATCTGCCTTCCAAATAAAAGTAAATATCTTAAAAAAAAAAAAAAAAGAAAGAAAAATAAAATAAATTCAGTGACTCAGCAAATCTCTTAGCTGGGTTCCAGGCCTTCACCTGGGTGCTGGGATCCAGAGTTAGCAGGCCAGGGAAGTCTGTCCTCGCGCAGTGGATGTTGCAAAGGGTACAGGCAGTGGGTGAACACATCTTTAGCTGCATCCTGAGAAAAGTGCACTGAGCAAAGTGAAGTGGAATCATGGGACAGGAAGTGACTAAGCTTTAGGGGACGGGATGTCGGACAAGAAAGGCCCCCTCTGCGAAGCTAGCATTTAATCAGAGACGTAGATGATGGAAATGATGGCAGTTCCAAAAGGAGCAGTATGTGCAAGGAACCGGAAGTTGGCTTTGATGTGAAATTTCATGTGATATATTTGCAGTGCTTTGTGATTTGATTGTATGTGAAGTCAGGACAAAATGTTCTTGTAATCCCTCATGATGAATTTACTGAATAAAATGATTGATTCATTTCACGTGTTACAGTGTATGTGTTGTGCTGTGGAGGGCTGAATTTATGTAAATAGAGAACAGAGGTTGTAGAGGATTTACGGGAGGCTTACAGTCAGAGAAGATTGCAGCTCTTGAGGCTGCATCCTGAGACTGCACTGCCCCCTCTGTGGTCAGCCTGGGCCGTGTGGGAGCTGGGGAGAGGGGCCGCGGGACTGCTGCGACGAGCCCCCCAGGAGCTGTTGAGCTAGCCCCCCAGTGACGACACCAGCCTCCAGGAGAAAACACGATGAGAGCGTGCTCCGTTTCTTTTTGCTGGAGTTATTTTTGCTGAAGTTCTGCATTCTTGAACTAGTTCAAGACAGTTGGTTTTAGAGTTAGGATAAGGAGAAGCAGTGCCAGGGAGCGTGAGTGGATGGCATAGGGTCAACCTTAAGCACGATGGAGTAATTATCGGAGGAAGGCTGGGGTCACTGAAATGGAGGTAGACTCTGTGTGTGTGCGTGCGCATGCGTGTGTGTGTGTGTGTGTGAGAGAGAGAGAGAGAGACAGGTGGGCCGAGAGGGTGATGTGTGTGGGGCAGGGGGAGGCGGCCAGGAAAGAATGAGGAAAACTACACCTTGGATATTTGGGTTGCTCCTAGAAACTGGGTGAAAAGCAGGCGTAAAAGCCACAATGGGATGTTTTCATGTTTTTTTTCTCTGGGATTGAGAACTCACAACCTCCAGGGGCATATATTAGGTGTTGGCCACCCACATTCTGCAATATACAAATAGCAAGGCTGAAATTAGTTTGAAAATTTGAAATCAGCCAACATTGCTTTATGTTCATTGTAGGACACAATAAATTGACTACCACGTGTTACTTTGCATATTGTTTGTGTTCATTGGTTTCCTGTTTCTTTATATTTCTGAAACATATTGTACTCAAATATCTGAAAAGGAAAATCTTGAAAACCATGTTCCCTCGTGCATGAAAGAGTATGCAAAATAGATTCCTCACCACTTAATTGCTTCAGTGCCATCCACAAAAAAGGTGGTGAATAAATATTAATAAATTTGAGATAGGTGCATACTAATGTGAACTTAAACTCTATTACAGAAAGTGGCCTTTGAATTTTTTGGCTTTCAGTGTATTTAAGCGTTTTTAAAAGTTGGGCATTCAGCTGGTTGAGTGTCCGCTTTAGGACAACCATGGTGAGATATGCTGGTCACTCGGAATGTGCCTGGGGTAAGTCACCACCGCCGAAGTGGAACAGGCAGTCAGAACAGAGACATGAGTTTCATCACTGGCAGTACTCCCAGGATTCCTGTCAGGAAAGTTCTGATCCAGTGTATCAAGCTAGGTAGCCAGCAGAGGGCAGTGTTTAACTGAAAATTTGTGTATTCTGGAGTGACTGCTTTGGCTGTATTACCCAGGGTCTCCTTTTTGTCTGCTCAGAGTTGAAGTTTAGTACCGTTTATTTCACCTTTGTGCTATAGGGATTTACAGGTCCTTCTAGAAATTAAACTGTGGATTTTTAAATTGTCAATTCTTAAAGTTTCTACTATCAGTTTTTTTTTTAAATCCTGAAAGTGAGTACCTATGAAATAACAAGCCAAATTGCTTGGATTCTAATGGGTTTAACTAAAATGTATTTAATTAGATACTTATAGACAAATAGCTTGTTTATGCTATGCTTTCTTTTCCTTTTTCCATAAATAGCGGAAATTAAGAATACATACTATTTTTACACTGCCTTTTTAAGTTAGTGCCAGAAATATTCATTTCCCCCATAGCTTTTAACATTTTCTCATATCTTTCATGAGACATTGAGTTTTTAGTGTTTATTTTGTTATTTCTATTGGAAAGGCAGATTAATGTAAAGAAGTTCAGAGAAAGAGAGAGAGAAAACCTTTCATCCATTGGCTCACTCCCCAAATGACCACAATGGTTGGAGCAGAGCCGATCCAAAGCCAGGAGCTAGCAGCTTCTTCTGGGTCTCCCATGTCAGTGCAGGATCATAAGGCTTTGGTCCATCCTCCACTGCTTTCCCAGGTTATAAGCAGGGAGCTGGATCAGAAGTGGAGCAGCTGGGACACAGACTTGTGCCCATTGGGGGTACTGGTGCTGCCAAGGCAGAGGATTAGCCAGTGTAGCCATTGTGCCAGCCCCAGAAATTGAGAGTTGCTCTTGGAAGACCAAACTCTTTATCTGGCGTTATTCCATGGGCATGGGTGCGCTATCTAATAAAGACCACTCCAGAGCCATTTTGTTGAGATGCATTGGTACACAGGTGATGTGCCAGAATGGGCATCAATCACCCTTGTTTACGTCAAATTGATCTCTTAGGATTCTATTTCCCAACAGTCACACCGATGAAAAGGTCCACTCAGCCGAGGCTGCTGAGGGGCTGTGCAGGAAGTAGAGCACTTCCTGTTTGCACTCACCTTGCGTAGTGGTGTTTTGTATGTTACTCGGGTCACATAGGGCAACACCTTGCTCTGAGACTTCACAGATTCTGTTTTGGTAAAAGCTTCTCTGGTTGGGTCCTCAGATAACACTAACTGAATGTGTGCTTCGGGTTAGATCGTAAACTCTGCATTGATGGCAGTTTATGGTGCTCATTCAACTCTGTAAGTACGGTAATATGTTGATTGCAGGCCTCTAACATTTTTCATTTTGTTGGTTTTCTTTAGAGCAGATTTCTCTGTTTAATCAAAACTCACACGTCCAAGGATGTTACACATTTCATTGCCAATCCTGCGGTGAAGTCATAATAAGGGACAGGTATGGACTGTATTTAACATTGATTTCTCCTGGGCCTGGCAAGGGCTTTCTCTCCTTCCAGACTTTTTGAAGTAATTGTCCACAAAGCTGGATAGGGCCTTAAAATGAGAGCCAGCTTAATGTCACTCTGAACAGAATCAACCACAAAGCTGGCCAGAGTCAGAGGATGGTTATTCCGTCTTAGTGAGATAAAGGCAGAGAGGCTGGCTTTGCGGGAGAAGGGCTTATCTCGCTGGAAGTAGCCGTGCTAATCACTGATGTCCCTGTGTGCTGACAAAAGATGTGTCATCTGTCACACAGCTTATCTGTCATCCTGGTGAGTGGAGTTTTTCACATGAAGGGAATTTTCTGCACAAGAACTTTTCAGTAAAACTTTCTATTTGGGCTGTGTGGATGAGTGCCCTTTGAAAATCCACTGTGGATTCTCCCTACCCTTCTGAACTCACCCTGGCTCATTAAAGCGGAACATGGGGCTCGGAGAGCGCAAATTAACCTTTTCTCATTGAATAGGTTAATCCTGTAACCTGTTCTTGTGCTGACTTGTTGCAGTTCCCGTAGTAAGATGAGAAAAGCTCTTTGCTATTTTCTTTGCATTCCTAAGTTAACTCATTGAATTATTTTTTCCTTTTTTTCTCTCTTGCTTCTATTAGCTTTCTTGTTGTTTGGGTATAGACCCTTCCCTTGAATTCTCAGCTTCCAGTCTCTCATAAGCCAAAAAGAATAATGGAAACCTTATAATTATTAACAATATTCTTGAAAAATAATAGAATTCTTTACATTACATAGGTTTCCTGAGTCAAGTGCCTGCGGTTTAGAAATATATGGATTCTTCTGATCTGAACCTGCCAGCCTTCTGGTGCCCCTTGTCTTAACGGTGCCAGCCTCTCTCTGTTTTTAAGCTGAAAGCTGGTGGCATGGCTAGGTTTTCTCCCTGTGCCTCCAGGAATAACAACCAGGCTGTCTCCCTCAGGGAATTTTTAAAGTCAGTCCGCTTTCCTCTGTGTCCCAATACCACTACAGTACCTGAGGCCTGGGTCGTCTTGCCTAATTGCTCTTGGTGCCAGCTTCAAAAGTTAGTTTTCCTCTGGTTTCACCCTTGTCCAGTCCATTGCTATGCCATGGAATGATTGTTGTAAAATGCAGCTGGCACTCATGTGCAAACACTTCCAGGAACCCCTCCCCCCCATTCCATTCAGGATAAATTCCGGAAGTCCTTAGCATGCCACGTGAGGCTCTTTATTTGTTCACCTCGACCGTTTACACCTGCATCTCACATTTCAATCCTGTTTTACCAATTTCTGCTTTTTCCTAAAGACAAATGAATAAACCCACACCAGTAGTTGCTGATGTTCAGTACCCATCTCTGGTGATCAGCATGCAGTCTCCTCCTGCTTTTCTTCCTAGTTCTTTGTGCAAGGGCCTCTCCTGGAGTGCACCACCGTGGTCCCCTGCTTGGCTCCTACAGGACACCTGCCAGCAGGAAGCCTTCCCTGGATCCTGATTCATGAGACTCTGAGGAGTAGGAACAGTCTTTAGTGACCTTAGCATCCTTTGTTTCAACTCCTGAGAGAACAGTGTCATGCAGCGATTAGTACTTTCAACTCCGGAGCCAAGCGTCTGGGCTTCCTTCACCATGTACGAACCATGTGAACTGGGCAGGAAACAGGAAGCACACTGTGCGTTATTCGGAAACTGTGGATAACAATAGGACCAACTCGATGGTTGGTTTTTCTTTTTTGTTTGTTTTAGAGGAGTCAGTGATTTTAAGTGTTGCTAACAGTTCCTGACACATGGTAAACATTGAGGAAGTGTTAAGTTCTGTTGTTCTGGTTCTTACCACCATCATCATCATCCCTAACATCAGACACATTATCTCATAAATTTTTGCTGGATTGAATTGAATACATTTTGATATATTTATTTCGCTTTTCTACCAGTCCTTCCTTTTTGCTTGCTGATTCACAGCACGGGCCCGTGTAGATGAGGAGGGCACTTACCATGGTGTCACTTTGAGGTTATAAACCTCCCAGAGTGATTTCCCTAACTTGGGTTCTTTGCTCAGATTACCTAAGGGTTGAAGTACCTCATTCTGCCAAGGACTTCCTTGCAGCCTTTGCAGAGTTGCACCCTGTGTCTGGCCTGTGAATGCCACTTGAGCAATGTAGACAGATCCTTAGTAAACGACTCAAGGCTTTATCTTTGTCTTTTCTTAGGCAGTATGCCTCAGGGCTGCTGGTTTTATAAAAAAATATACTTTCTCCAGCATTTGCCCATTTAGTTCATGTCTCGTTTTCCCCTCGGCTGACTGTTTTGAGTGGTCAGGATAACTTCGGTGTGCATTAAGTAGAAAACAAGACCACAGGTATTTCCCCCAAATTTATGAGGGTACTTCCCAAAATTCATGGAAATATATGAATTTCTTTGTATGAGGCACTTTGAAATCTACACACTTTTCATAATACACATTTTGTGTGAACTTTTTGAAGATGCCTCATATGTGTAAGAAAATCCAGCAATTATACATAAGTTTTCCAGGAAGTTGTATTGGTTGGTTTAGTCAGAGCTCTCAAATAAGAACAAATGAAGTGGAGTTGAGACCTACTTGCTAACTAGCCTTATTTGTGGACAGATTTTTGTCTTTTTTAAATTCCTGGGCCTTAGTTTTCTCATCCATGAAATGGGTAAGTTGGATTAGAGAAACCTATCAGAATCCTGTTAGCATGAAAATTGTCAGATCAGTAAACCCCCTCAGTTGTACTTTGGATTTCTGTGGTGCTGTTATTTGGGTGGTAAAGTATCAGTGGCAGTTCTTTTCTTCCTCTTGTTTGTAATGAAAGATTCTTATCAAGTAAATTGTAGGAATAAGATATAGAGGGCAGTTAACTCATTAAGACATGTTAGGAGCTTTTAAAAATTTGTTTTTGTTTTTAAAGATTTATTTATTTGTTTATTATCAGAAAGGCAGATATACAGAGAGAAGCAGAGACAGAGAGGAAGATCTTCCATCTGATGATTCACTCCCCAAGTGGCTGCAATGGCTGGAGCTCAGCCAATCCAAAGCCAGGATCCAGGGAGCTTGGAACCTCCTGCAGGTCTCCCATGAGGGTATAGGGTCCCAATGCTTTGGGCTGTCCTTGACTGCTTTTCCAGGCCACAGGCAGGGAGCTGGATGGGAACTGGGAGCCGCCAGGATTAGAACTGGCACCCATATTCTATCCTGGAATGTGCAAGGCGAGGACTTTAGCCGCTAGGCTACCGCACTGGGCCTACATTAAGAGCAAAGCGTATGAAATCTGCTAATTACAGCAGCTTTTGTTTTTTGTTTTCAGAGAGAGAGCATCTTTTTTCATGGTTTAAACTCACATCTTCTCAGCCACTTTTTTTTTTAAAATTTGATTGTAAAGTCATATACAGAGAGGAAGAGAGACAAGGGGAATATCTTCCATCTGCTGGTTCACTCCCCAAGTGACCAGAATGGCCAGAGTTGAGTCGATCCGAAGCCAGGAGCCTGGAGCTTCTTCCAGGTCTCCCACGCAGGTGCAGGATCCCAAAGCTTTGGGCTGTGCTTGACTGCTTTCCCAGGCCACAAGCAGGGAGCTGGATGGGAAGCGGGGTGAGTGGGATTAGAACCAGCACCTATATGGGGTACTGGTGTGTGCAAGGCGAGGGCTTTAGCCGTTAGGCTACCATACCAGGTCCTCTTAGCCACTTTTTTTGTTATTATCTGAAAACAAGTAATGCCTTGTGTCTTTACAATTAAATTCTCTAACTTACATTTTTATTATGGCAGCGGAGATTTCTGTAGAATTGCTCTGAACATATACACTTGATAATTATCTTGTGGTGGAGATCAAAACAGTTATAATATGAAACAATGTTAGTACAGTTTATTTATGAAAGGTCTACGAATCAGCCAAGCATTCATTTTCTTTGGAATTTGTTATGTCTTCTGCAAGTTTAAGTTGTGGCAGACTTGCATGAGATATCTTAAGGATAGGACCCATATCTGTTAATTGGTTTCACATCAATCCTATATCCATAGCCCAAATTTTGACTTTGATATGTCCCATGAAGTCATATGTGGCATTTTGGATATTCAACTAGGAATTTACAGCCTGTATTAAATAAAACATGCTAAATAAATAAGATTTTATGTTTATTTTAATTTAAAGTTTGTCTTTTTTTTTTTAAGATTTATTCATTTATTTATTGGAAAGTCAGATATACAGAGAGGAGGAGAGACAGAGAGGAACATCTTCCGTCCGATGATTCACTCCCCAAGTGACCGCAATGGCTGATGCTATGCCGATCCGAAGCCAGGATCCAGGAACTTCTTCTGGGTATCCCACACAGGTGAAGGGTCCCAAGACTTTGGGCTGTCCTCAACTGCTTTCCCAGGCCAGAGGCAGGGAGCTGGAAGGGAAGTGGAAGTGGAGCTGCCGGGATTAGGCGCCCATATGGGATCCTGGGCGGTGGATTCAAGGCGAGGACTTTAGCCGCTAGGCCACGCCAGCGGGCCCTAAAGTTTGTCTTTTTGAAAGAGAGAGAAATCTTACATTTGTCAGTTCACTCCCCAGATGCCTGCAGAATTGGGACTAGGACTCAGGTCCATGGATGTTGGAAGGCGAAGTGGCAGCTTACCTGCTATGTCATAATACCTATTTCTGTTTTATTATTTCCCCCAAATTTGTGCCTACATGTACTAAAAATAGTGAACAAATTTTAATGTATTTTGAACTTATAAAATCATAAACTTAGAGTGAAATGAAGAAACCATTTCATTCGGCTAGCTCCAGCAGTTCTTTTTCTTTGTATTTTAACCTAAAAGCTATCTTGGAAAAAAAAAAAGAGTATCTTTTATTGTGAAAGTTCTCCTGGGAAGTAGATCATATCAAAGTATACATTTCAGGGTTTTAGATAGATATGCTTTCAGTAAAGCTGTGATTAAAATACATCTTTTGTCCTTAAAGGTTTTTTCTAAAACATCAGAACAAAATTTCTTTCTGCTATAAAACCCCTTTTATCTTGTAATGACTTGTGAAATATA